TGATTCCAGGTTTTCAGTAATGGTTTAGCTTAGTTTGGCTCGTGAATTCAACTGTGATTTACAATATATTTTGGATATTAATTACAATAAGAGAATTTTTTTATTCATATTCTTTTATATGAACTTTAAAAGAAACACTCTCTGTGAGCCTCAAATAGAAGTTAAATGACTAAGACAATATGTAATTTTTCATTTCATAGTTAGAATCAATTTATCGTAAGATGCATAACTGAATGATAATGTTTCTTATTGTGACATTGGAAAATTCGGATTTGAATTCCATGAGTTGAACCAATCTCTTCAATATTGCAGATGCACTATGTTAACGAGTACCAACTACCAAGATACTTAAGTCATGAGTTCTTCCGTAATTCATTTATGCCTTCTAAAACCAATCAATGTATGCTGTGATATAGATTCATTTAGTCTAATGACTATGCTCAATTTTTATACCCTTGAGTATACATCTAGGGGTTTATATGTTTTATGTCAATGAATTCACGATATTACTCACCTATCTCTTAATATTATTAGCAAGTAAATTCTTCATGCGTGATTTGGTTGCACTCCATTGGTCATATCTTAATAAAACTCAGGGATTTAATTCTGGTATTTGGTCACTGATGATCTCACGATCATCACTACCATAGAGCTTTAATGAAGTTCAGTTATAAACCTACTCATTGAAAATGGTCTTAACTGAAGTATTGATACTATCAGAGCTTCTGTATAGGTTCCGAATGAAAAATTAACGTTGAATCATTGAATTGTCCCATTATATTTAATTTAGACTACCATCGAAGACCTTAAAGCATTAATTGGTCTTTCCTTTCTAGCATAGGACTACTCAGAAGTGTGCATCGACGATCCCGTAACCGAGGCTCTAGGTTTGGTTTCAGTGTTTCTAGGTTTTCGATGGTTGTCCAACTTAAATCGGTTTGTGATTTGAATGAAATTCAACAATCTTCACATCACATATTGAAGATATATTAGATTATTAGAATGCATAAATGGATTCATTCAATAGCTTTACAAAATGATATTACATATTTAAACAAATATGAGTTGATATCCCATATATAAATAACCATAGCATTATTAATTCAAACACTTCAATTCAGACTTAAAGTCCTTCAAACAACTGAAGCAGTAGTTATCCAGATGACGAAACCGGAGCTATGCGTACAGAAGAAATATCTCCAACCACTCCTCCTCCCTTAACCAACATCAAGGTCAATTAATCAATAGTAATCTTAGCTATTGAATGACCTAATTTGACTAGTGTAATTACCACCTTTCGTAGTCTATTGTTATTGTCTCTGTTATCTTTGTTCACAAATCTTTGGATTATTATTATTATTATTATTATTATTATTATTATTACTATTGGTTAAACATCATTATTAATCTCCGATATACATGATTCGTTCACTTCGCACTCATCCCTCCTTATTACGTCTTACTAAACTTTCACACAATATAGCCTTCCACTAAACATTTGATCGAATTGCGATTGCACTATTATTTTTCTCAACCTATCTGACCCATATTTATTCGGATCATAAATCTTAGAATTTCACTTCACATATATGCAGATTTAAGTTAACATTCCATGTGAATCATATCAACAGTAACAATTTTAAGAAAAGATGGACAGTGGCTAGCAGTGGAATACAGGACGCTCGTTTCGTTCTATTTAGGACACGTCATCTGGAATTACCTGCATCTCAGAGTTGATGTTCACTCTGGGACTAGAACCCAGTACCGTTCTCTTCAAACGCCATCGCGTCCTGGACTGAACGTCAACTCTGCGATACAGGTACACCCAGCTGACGAGTCCCAAATAATACGAAACGCGCGTTCTCCATTCCACTGCTAGCCACAATCCATCTTTGATTAAAAAGCTTGTGACTTAAGGCTATATCGAGACAATCCACACAAGAAACACATATGCCAACATGAGACTGATCAATTACAATCCTAAATAACAATGGGAAGACACAAGTAAAACAAATATCAAGTAAATTAACAATCATAAATTCACATGCTTTAAACGATGTACTTTGCTCTTTTACCTGACCATTTTTCGGATTATTAATTTGTATATATACATATATGAATTATAGAACCTGAATAGAATTTATCGAAAAGAATATTCTTCATTCAAATATTACACTTCAATTCATATGTTTCATTACAGTTTGTTTGTTCTATTTTTTCTTCGAAATATTCTTTCACTAATGTTCTTTTTGGTTTGTTGTTGTTGTTTTTGTCTTTGTTTTTTTTCTTTTGGTTAACATTTTACAAATAAATGAATGATTGTATTCCCAAGACAGATTCCAATGTTATACAGTCGCTAAATATCAACTTAATTATGTCTTATTATTATTATCATTATCATATTCTTTTACCCCATTTCAGATAATTCTGTATAAAATTCCATTTGTTTCTAACAAACAAAAAACAAAGAATTAGTTTCTTTTTTTGAAAGAAGAAAACAAGATGAGTATTCAATAGTTTAGCCGTAGAAACTACTTTTTTTTTTTAATCAAGTAGCTTAATGCATATTTGAAAAAGGGAAGTTATAAAGAATAAGATAATATGATGTGCAAAATTATATTTAAAATAATCGAAGTGATTTAAGATTTATTCATTTCAATGTTTTGTACAACAAACTGGTTTGAGTATGTTCAGGGTGAATTTTAAGTTTTTATTTATTTATTTAAACACATAAATATTGGTAGAAAGAGACATCGAATACATATCCTCCATATAAATCACTTGATTTTTGTGTGGGACGTGATACTTCTTGGGTGATCAAACCGAAGTAGGTGATCTTCTTAGGGGGACTAACTCCGAACCTTCGACATAAAGGTCTGATCCACAAGGCAGTGGAGCAACGTAAGGAGATGCAGTCTCATGGTAGATGGTGAACAAATATAGGTTCATACGCCACTCGTTCTTTCAGGATACTGGAGCCCATGCGCATTAGTGGTTCGGAATCAGGATTTTCCAACTCCCCTAAGTGGATCCTCCATATCCAACAACCCGGATGTAAACAGGCGGCCTGCTTGAATATCTGGGCTACCTGTTCCTTCCATCTAGATATTTCGTCAAGTTATCTGTTTTCTTGTTTGTTTTAACACATTATTATGTCTATTGAGCTCACAACCTATTCAGGCGCCTTTATGAAAAGTTTACAACCTTTCGCTGTACGGATTACGAAAAGGTACAACCAGCGACATCATGGTGGCTTGCAATATTCATTGAAACGAATGAACATTATTCAGATGTCGATTATCGAACTCCTAACATCTAACTGGCCATCACTCAATATTTATCATCAGGATCGATCAAGATATAAGAAAAGGAAACTTGTTGAAATACTTTATGCTGAGAATTCAATATTGTACCAAAAATATAATGTTGAATAAAGCTTGTAATAATAAATAAAAATAAATTTAAAACAATATAGCACCGGACATTCGATTTCCGTCCTCTCAATTTCGTAAACAGTAACCCCGCAGTGATAAGGTAGTGAGTAGGACTTCTGTAGCAGTGGTTGTATGCATGTGGCCATTTGAGAACATTTCGAGAGAGAAAGCTGACTCTCCTCACCCTCGGCTGTACCAAGACATTTGGGACCATTTTAAGTTTTAACAATGAGTTTTTACAAAAAGCTTGTCCATTCATTTACGAACGTTGATTTACTATACACACAATATCTTCACTTACCTTCAAATTGAAGCTTGTAAAAAAAAACTAAAATGAACTGTAAGAGATTGAAGTTCAAGTATTTAAAATGAAATAAAAGTCTATCGTGCTGACTACTGATAATCAATGAATAATTTACAATACAAATTATCCATAGTTAGACAAATATTAAAAACCTGGAAGAACTTAATAACTATTTCTCCATAATATAATATCCCTCAACAGTGCTTATTCATTGACTCCAACATGGATCGCACCAATGTACTGATAGTAAATAATGTCTAGAGATAATTGTTAGAATTTTATTAAGATAATGTGACTAATGGAATTAAACTATGTTGTATGTGTAAGCATTTACCCATCATTAATATTCATAGGTGATCACATAATATCACAAGTTGATTGAAGTAAGAAATAAAAACTATTAGGCGCCCAAATAGTTATTCTGTGATATGAACGACAGAATTATATATATATATATATATATATATATATATATATATATATTGCTGGTGAGCGGCCTATGCTCCTTCACAAGGAGTAACAGGCGTAAGTAAGTATGTAAGTATGTATAAATATATATATGTCTATTTTCTAGAATATTCATAATTTTTTCAGACAATAATATTTTTAGTTAGATTAACATGGTCAGTATATAGTTATTGGCATTATTCATTCTATTTTACATTATTATACGTAAACTAAACGGAATAAATGAAGGCGTAGACCAAAGTCACTTAAGATCCATTGATATTATCTTTAAATATCCGGACTAGAATTAGTTTCTCTAATTAGTTATAGCCATTACAATTTAATAAACTAGACTGACAAAAGATTTAAATGAATAAAATTAATTGTTACTTATTAAGAATTCTTATTTTAATTCTTGGAACTTTAGTTAATTTAATCAATAAATATGAGTAAATGATGTTCTGAATGGTTTTCTCAAGTTGACCTACCATTGATTGATGTGTTTTAATGATTGTGTTATATCTATAATTTATATTCTTGATATATTGCGTATAACTCGAATACTAGAACTTTAGAACCCTTCCAAGTCGCAATGGGAAGACAAAATAATAATGAAAAAAATGTCATTATAGTACAAAATTGTCAGGTATTTATAATATTTAGTAAGAAATGAAATCATCATTACAGTCCTCCAATCCGCATACAGGGGGTTATTAGTATTGTTCAATCGGGAAGCTACCATGTAGGGATTCTAGAGTATTCTTCCAAAATGTGATTGAATAGAATATTTTCGGCTCTTTCTGAACTTCTTACAGCTTCCTCGAGTTCGCCATTGGACCTTTATTATTTAACATTGAGTTATAAGACTCAACCTATTGTGAGAGAGAACAAATCAGATTCCAGAGGAGGAAGAAATCAAGAAGAAGATCTGGAAGTAGATAGGACACATATTGAGGAATGCACCTAACTGCGTCACAAGGCAAACCCTCATCACATGGAATCTTCAAGGCCAAAGGAAAAGAGGAATACTAAAGAACACATTACGCCAAGAAATGGAGACAGACATAAGAAGAATGAACAAGAATTGGATAGAACTAGAAAGGAAGGCCCAAGACAGAGTGCGTTGGAGAATGCTGGTCGTCGGCCTATGCTCCATTGGGAGTAACAGGCGTAAGTAAGTAAGTAACATGTCTATTTGGTTAGTTTATTATTTAACTTATGAAAATTTCTTAGTTTAATATCATAGTGATTTTATTATTAGTTTCCTTCATAGATAAAAGAAATTATTGACAATCTGTTTACATTAAAACAAGAAAGGTTACTTATGTATTTTCATACCGTATACATTTAGCACTAAGGTGTCTAATAAGATTAGCGTTATCCATTGATATATTGTTACTAATATTTCAATACTACAATTATGAAAGTTAACACTGGAATAAAAATAAATCAAGCTAATAAGTTATGAAACACGTAAGGATGAAATTTTGATTAAAAATTCTACTGTCGGTTGTAATCTATCTATTCTAAGCATAATGGTTAATAACACAAAGTGAATATGATAATATTCGATTTCTTAAACAGGTTTGAAACTAGTTGTGTCTATTTCTATTTGGATAACTTGGTAGAATAACTAGCCTTAAAATAAACCGTAAGAGTTGTTAAATTGTAGATGGGAAATCAACCAAATATCCTTTTTTGTATTGGTTGTTTGAATCTTTTCATTGATATTTAAGACTACGATTGATCAGTCTCTTATTAGCATATATAAATCGCGTACGGTTCGCTTTGTAATTGCATTACATCACAAGGATTATAAACAAAAATCCAGGTAAATCCAACCAGATTCCACTGATAGCTATCATTCATCTTTGTTTATAAAGCTATATATCCTGTTTTTAAAATTTATTTCTAAATATAGATAAGTAAATCAATGGATCATAACATTATGATTCGAAACATAATATGTAAGACTTGAAAGTTTCGAGTTCAATTCCTCATTAGGATACGCTTAAGGTGTTTCACACTGCAATTAAACAACTATCAAGTGGTGGGGAAGATTTGTAGCTTAAATGGATGATTTTGATGGAGTTTTGTTCTCTGAGCTGGATGGTTTTGTCGTGGAACTTTCGTCTTTCTTCTAAATGACATCAGTACAAAATTCAACTAGTATTTAATATAATTTTCAACTGATATCATCTGTTTAGATTAATTATAAGTTTCAATATTCTGTGATTATTTCATTATCCATTTGTTTGTCTTCTTTTGAAATTCATAAAAGTAGATGATTCTAAGTTTTCTGTAAGTTAAAATCAGTTCATTACTCTAAATGAAGTAATTATTATCAGAAGGGGTTTTGTGGAGATTGTAGTAATTTCAATAGTTGAAGTCATGAGGCAATTGAAGCTAGACCACCATGGAAAACCTGGAAGTACTGGACAGCCGTTTCGTCCTATTGTAAGACTCCTCAGAAGTGCGCATCCATGACCCCAACTCGCAAGATTCGAACCAAGGAACTAACAGTTTTGCGCGCGAACGCTTAACCTCTAGACTACTGGGCTGGTCGGCATCCAACGGTGTTAATGTCTAACTTCAACCAGTCCACGAAATTCAGCGACACATCCACCATTGTCATGAGTGAGTTACTATCTCACAACGGACCCGATTGAACTCCACTGGTCACTGCTTCTCACTAGAACTCCAGGAAATACCTCTTGAAGCCAGTCACCAGTGAGCATATGTTGATTAGTATTAGAAGTGGTCTTGTGAATATTATAGTAATTTCAATAGTTGAGATCATGAGTCAATTGAAGCTAGACCACCATGGAAAACCTGGAACAATTGGACGGCCGTTTCGTTGGATGCCGGCCCAGTGGTCTAGTGGTTAAGCGCTCGCGAGCAAGGCTGACAGGTCCTGAGTTCGAATCTTGCGACCCTTTTACACTTTTGTACAACACCACAAAAGTCGAATTAAGATCAATCTTATTATTAGTTATTAATTTTAGACTTCTCTTTGTTTATGACATTTATTTTAAGAAGCTTTAGTAGATTGGACTTGACTCTGGATTTCAATATTAATATTCGATGGAACATCCTGCATCTGAAAAGATAAAACTTGAGTTCTACAAGATTTGTATTATTACACACACATTTCCAGAACAGTTTTATAAATCCTTACGATCCAATAAGTTACATCCAAATTGTTTCTAATCTTTTGCGGCTTACAAAATCTCACAAGGAAAAATGTAAAGATATGATAAATAGACTAATTGAACTTCATTTATTTAATTATTTATTTGAACACACACACAGGCACCGAATACATATCCGCCACAAAATTCACTTGATTTGTGTGTGGCTGTGATACTGCACGGGTGCCCAAACCGAAGCACGTGGTTTTCTTAGTGGACGATACCTGGAGCATTTGATCTAAGGGTATGATCCACAAGGCAGTAGAGCAACGTTAGGAGATGCGATCTTATGGTAGTCGATGACCAACAAAAGGTTCATAAGCTATTTGTTCTCTTTGGATCATGAATCCCATGTGCACCATTGGTTTGGAATCAGAGTTTTCCAACTTCATCAACCCGTTTAAGTCACTGGACATTCGATTTTCATCCTCTTAACTTCGTAAACAATAGTAATGTCGCGAGAAGGCAATGGGTAGGACTTCCCTGGCAGTGACTGCATATGCGAGACAATGTGAGAACGTTTGGGAGCAAATGAACCTCATACTCATTCGTCATGTGTATTATCGAATATTTCTCTAATATGTCATATTAAATTTATGAACTTTTGCAGTACAGTGGTTGCTAAAACAAATTATACTACTAAACAAAAGCTGAAGTAATCTCTTATTGATGATAATGATGGTAATTCATTTCAATTTATCCCTGATAGGTATGTATCGAGTCTATCATCTATTAAGCTTTCTGTATTTGAAAAAAGAGCTCTATCCCTTGAATTTAATTTTTCCGTTGCACGTGCCAAGATTTCTGATCTATCGATAGATGCTCAATTTGAAAAATCTCTATGACCAGTTGATTGCTCTTGTTCCAACCACCCTAGTTAAGAAAAATTTGGTTCTCAAATCAGACACAGGAGTATTTTGACTTCTAAAGATTTCACCACTTTAAGATAAACCTCCAAAGAAGGTCAGATATTGTGATCCTTAGACCTGACAAAGGTTGGGGAGTGGTTGTTATTAATAAATATGACTATTAAGAAAAACATGTTATCTATACTTGGCTATCAGAGTAATTTCACGCAGGACATTCCAACTGGTATTAATGTTCGATAATTGAAACCCAGAGTCAAGTTCAATTAACTAAAACGGTGAGACTATAATTTATGGACGACCTTTGAGCGACGTTAGTGACCTTGAGAGTGTCCGCCTAATAACTACGACGAAATGAGAGTTATAAATTAGTGTGAGGAATTAGAATTATGATTTACAGTTGATGATTAAGGTTAGGAAATAGATTTAGGCTTTTCATCACGAACTAACATAAGCTATAATGCCAAAATTCTATTTAACTAAATGGATGAGTGAATTTCGTGTCAAAATCCCAGACGTATTATCTTGTATCTAATTGATTCGTCCATAAATTATAGTCTCACCATTAAAACTTCTTAAAATGTATTTCATAAACAAAGAGTAGTTGAATATGCTAAAACCTTCGGATTCTATTCTCTTAAATTTATATAAATAAATATTCATTAATTATTGTAAATTGAATCCGTTCAAAAATTAACCAATAGAATTCAACTTGTTGTTTTAACATACTCATATACTTTATTTTGAACTATTTAAACTTCTATTATTATTATTATTATTAAGGTTACAACTATTTTTCTCATTAGTCTTTATTACTTCAAGGGAAATTGAATCTTTAATTCACATTCAAAAAGAAAAATAAAGTTTCATTCATTAATTATTTGAAAAATTATTTATGGTCATTGTAAATTAAATTTAATTGACTAATGAATGATATATTTTTCATTCATTAAGAATAATCATAAATTGTCGTTCATTTCATACAGAAGGTACAAATAGGAAAAATTTATGTAATAATTAAATTCATAAGTCAATTGAAACTAGATTCCCATGGAAAACCTGGAAGATTTGGATGGCCATTTCATCCTAGTATGGAACTTCATAGCAATGCGCATCGACGATCCCGCTTCGTGAGATTCGAACCCAGGACTTATCAATCTCGAGCACGAACCCTTATTCTTTAGACCACTGAGCCAACCGGCATCTAACAGTTGACATAAGTAGTATATAACGCGAGTCAGGAATATAATGCCTGGCAGCAGAAGATTGAGAAGTTCAAGAAGGGAAGAACGGGAATAGAAAGCAATTAGTATGGAGATGCACGAACAATGAAATCCGAGACAATTATTGAACGTTTTGCAAATTATGTATTATAGTATGGTTTTTCTATCTTATCAAGTAACTCTGTAAGTTTGTGCTAAACATAATTTGGTTGGCCTCACCTGTGTTCTCCTTCACTACATTCGGTGTCGCTACCAACCGGGAGGGGAAGAGTGCTGTTCTATGAACGCCGTTGAGGGCCTGGAGCTAGGGCGCCGGTTGGGGCTGTCTGGTGCGGAGAGATGACGCCGAGTGGAGTGTTCTGGAGGGTGCTGTCGATGGAGAGGAGCGGTGGGATGTGAGAATGCTGGGCGGACATCAGATGTAGATGACTGAGCAGGCCGTCGGAGCGCAGACGTTCAACGTCCCAGGTGCCGGGAGCATGTCGGATGTTGACACCCCGGCAGGACGACGAAGCTAAGGAGGTTAGGGCGTCGCGGACACGACATTTTGATGGAGAGCTTGGCACAGACTACAGAGAAGGAGGAAGTGGCACGGCGAGCATAACCACCGCAAGAAGGAATGCTTTGAAGGGGGGACGAGTGTGGTGTGGGTTACTTTTATCCACACAAGTAGTATATAATGGTGGTCAGTCATAGAATGTTTTTCCGTATAAGATTGGGAATGGAACGCATTTGGTATGATAATGCATGGATAATGAAATCTGAGACAATCGACTAATATCTGCAAAGGAACAGTTAAGTTTGAGATAATTGATTAATACTTTTCAAACTAACTATTTACTAACTGGTTCTCAGATTTTAGTGAGATGCTCTGTAATGTTGTGTCTAATATATTCAATTGTCCCCACTTGTGTTCTTGTTCACTACATAACTTTAACCAATCCAATCAATCATTAGATTACTACAATCTCCACAAAACCCCTATCTGATTATAAAGATTTATGTGTTAATACAAAGGTTTGATTTGATAATTTTTTGGAATAAATTAAATATTGGATAGAGTTTTGCTAATAGAAATAATATATTTATAAAGAACCTATGAGTAGATATTTATAATTTTTAACTTCTCATGACTTGGAAAGTTAGTTATTATACGTATATGCGATAGCATATCATTGAAATTCTAGCTAGAAAGGTATATTCTTTTATCATTTCATTAATAATGAACATGATGTCTACATTTCAACATATTCAGTAAGAAGACAACTTCAACTATTTAGTATATAGACGTTTGTGGAGATGGTTGAATTTGATGGTTTTAACCGTGGACTAATGTGTAAAATATTGTATGTCTACTCAGTAGCTAATAGGTTAAGTGTTCGTTACTTGACATAAATGTCTTGGGTTCGATTTACTATATGATTTTGGATACAAAACGAGTATTCAATACTAACGAGTTTTCACTAGTTGTCTAACTAAGACTGATCAATAACGAACTATAAAACTTCAAACTTACTATTGAAAAAAAATCATTATTAAGAATATTTCAACTGAATGTATGCAGTCTAAAGAACATTGTTGCTTTTTTTGTCGGATTTGCCTTGATGGTTCTAATTCTCAATTATGAGTTGTGGAGTATCGTACTGTATGTATTCAGTCATAATTCCTTCTTTTGTTTCTCTTGTTAATTATATGAATTTCATTTGTTGCACCTTACTAATCAACCCGTCTTGCAGTTGATCTTAGGCAACCTATTGTTCTAAAAATTCATATCTAGAGAAGCTGTCTTTGTGTGTTTATCGATTCCCTTTTTCTAGCCAATAAGTCATAATCAATATTGAGTCTGACAGAAATAAGCTTCAGCACAAATTATCATATGAAATCTTTAAAATGAAGTGAAATTTACAAAATGGCTGATAAAAGAATCTAAAAAACACTAGTATTAATCATAGTATTATATCCGAACGAAGAATAAATGGATCGTAATGGCTAGGACTTATTTATGGATTGTTATTACGTATATTCCTATTGGATAACTAATTAGTAACTAGATTATCTATGTATTTGTACTCTTTATCATAAGTTTTCATTTGATTTACTGGCTGTTGTTATACGATTTACCATTCTTAATTTATTCTCAATCTATCAGTTACAGCTTTCCATACTCGTACCCACTTTTGGCCTGTTGGTGGGTGACTATTATTTTTCATTTTATGGTGTGATGCGATGTGTTCTGTTTATATATAAACTAAGTATGTCTGAAATATACGATTCATATAACAGCGGCTTAGATTGTGTTCTGGAATTAACGTACTGGACCAGGCAAGAAGTTACTATTTTGAGGATCAATAAAGATTTATGGTTAACTCAGGGCTGCTCGTTCTGGTTGACGTGTCATTGGCTTAGTACAGGGACAAGGTCATATAAGTCAGTGTTCTGATTGGCGATTTTGTCACGTGATAATTGACAGAGCCATAAGACATAATAGTGGGAAAGATTAGCTTTTGAAATGTACTATTCCATAAGAAGGTGGGAATGCCAAGAGTAGAAAGTACACACTAATAGTGAAGTTGGAAACTTCAAAGAAGATAAAGAATCAATAAATCTATTACAGTGTCACTAATTCTGAACTATTTCCCTAAAATCTCAAACCACTGATTGTAGTTATCAATATGAACCTCAAACAGATGGCGTCTACGAACACGGCTCAGACCAACATTAAATAATCTGATAGAATAGTTTCAATATAATGGCTCGACCTCATCTGTTATAAATAGCTAATCGTATGGATGATTCTTGTATCTTTCTTATATTTCTTTAAATTTTCTACTAATCTACTTTCATATCATTTCCAAACTTCAATAATTCACTAAATGAATGAATTCATAACATTCTAGTAGGGTTGTTGTTGTTGTTATTGCCCTGATGAAATTAATTTAATTACTTTTACGGATCTTGAAAATTAATGATGAGTCTAAAAATAAACATAGAGGAATATGCAATACAAAACCATACTTTATGACGTTTTGCCAGAAACTTTTTATAGATTGTAAATTTATATCTTACAGTTTAACTCCATAATTTCCTTATCATTTTGTACTTTTGTTTCTGTTCTCTTTTTTAGGATCCCATGAGAATTCCATAGTAGGAATATCAGAAACCAGAGAAAAAAAAACAGGATCAGAATAATTTGTCCAATCAAAATACACTACAAAAACTTTTAAAAAGAAACTGTTAGGTTGTAAGTCAAACTATGATTAGATGATTAATCATTCTGTTACTTAAGTTAGCATATTTTCATGTTTCCACATTTTCACCGTTATCTTATTTACTTACTAACTTACGCCTGTTACTCCCAATGGAGCATAGGCCGACGACCAGCATTCTCCAACTCACTCTGTCCTAGGCCTACTTTTCTAGTTCTATCCAATTTTTGTTCATTCTTCTTATGTCTGTCTCCATTTCTTGGCGTAATGTGTTCTTTAGTATTCCTCTTTTCCTTTGGCCTTGAAGATTTCATGTGATGAGGGTTTGCCTTGTGACGCAGTTAGGTGCATTCCTCATTGTGTCCTATCCACTTCCAGCTCTTCTTCCTGATTTCTTCCTCTACTGGGATCTGATTTGTTCTCTCCCACAATAAGTTGTTGCTAATAGTGTCTGATTAACGGATCCGAAGTATTTTGCGTAGACAACTGTTAATAAAAATTTGCATTTTCTGGATGATGGCTTTTGTAGTTCTCCAGTTTTCTGCCCTATACAGTAGAATTATCTTGACATTTGTATTGAAAACTGTGACTTTGGTGTTGGTTGACAGTTTTTTTTGAGTCCCAGATATTCTTAAGTTGTAGGTATGCTGTTCTTGCCTTGCCGATCCGTTATCAATAAATCAATAAATAAGCTTGTTTTGTTTACAGAAAAAAAACCATGATGTAAATTTTCCGTTATTTTTGCTTCTTCTCTATTGCTTAAGGCTCAAGTCTATGTGAGTCTGAGAAAACAGGAAAGAGTTAAGAAATTAATAGTAATAGTTCGTGTATCAGACCTATCACTTCTATTTGTTGGTTGCTGTTTTAATAAAATAATATGCCGTTCTATAACCAAGGACAATGTTTATACAATTTACAAAATAGTGCTTGCTTAGAGACGGAATAATATAGATCAAAATTGTTTGGACCGACATAGGTACATCTACTATTTTCCATACCCTTAGATCCAAAGTTTTCGAATTCCGCATAATTTTATTGCATATCAGTAGTTTGTATTTTCTTGAATCGTATCTCTGATATCTAATCTTTTCAATTACTATCAATCCTGTTACTATCTCTACCGTTGTGAGATTTACCTGAACAATTTCATCTGATTGTACTAATGGAATATGACACCTTGAACTGATCTATACATTTAACGGATTCTACATTGAGTTAGTCTGACTGAGTTATTTTCTTATTCGATTTGATTTTCTCAAAATTTAGCTAACAAATAGATAATGAAGTTAAATGTTAAAAATAGTTTCATTGTATATGAAAAACTTATTTTCAAATAGTAATTTAAATATTTCATTAAAACTAATATGTTGTTTCCTTAGCTATACCATACCGTGAAATATGATTGCCAATTTAGATACGCTAACTTATATGACCAAAATAATGACACACAAACATCACGAGAAGTCTAGCGTCCTTATTGATGACACAGAACATATACATAGCCTTCAACCGCTCATTTACATCTTCCAGTATGTTCTGCAATCGAAACTGTCTTCTCAACTGGTCTCCAAATGTTCTACCAACCCCGTGCTTTGGATTCAATGAAACTATTCACTCTCTCAGATAAATGGTGCAACTTCGACGCTGTTTTCCGCTACACACTACTTATAAACTTATTTGCGAGTAACATTCACTACAGTGGCATTATAGCGTCTTAACCAGTCTGATAAAGTGTAGAAATGATTTCAGGCTATGTATGAAAGTACTCACTCATCAAATGTAGTTTTAAATGTTACTAAATAACCACAACGTTTAAAGTTTCCAATAAAATTATTATATCCAGCATTTTACATCATTTTTCAGTTCATTTCATTGTGTAATTTCCATTGCAATTTTCAATTCCAGTGTCTGGAATTACCCATAACTATCAGTGTCGTGACTTTTTCCCCATTAATTTATCACGTGATATAACTTATACAATCTTAACACTGTGCTACAACAATCATTTACTGAGCGGTATGGGCAGCTTAGTGTCCTTATTGGTCCTTTTCATGCCATGCTTGTTGAGTCAACGATACCGACATCATCTTCCACTAATCGAATCATATATTTCAAACATACTGGGTTTATATACAAACAGATCAGACCGTATCACACCATAAAGTAGAAAATGACATTTGTATAATATCAAGCCAGAAAGTGTCTGTAATTGTTAGAAACTATTACTAATAAATTGGAAATATCTCAAGAATAGTAAATTGTATGATAATGGTTAATAGATCAAATGAAAGCTTATAATGAAAGGAATATGAATATGCATTTAATCTAGTTACTTAATAGTCATACAATAACAATATTCGTATACTAGTGATTTCTAACAGTCACCATTCATTTATTCTTGTCTGGATATAACACTATGAACATTGAACTTTGAAGAAATGATAATTTCAGATGATTGTATTATAAAATAAATAGTAATATTCAGTAGGCCATCCAACCTTCATTCCGGACAACTTTCTTTTTAATTCTCAATCTAATGAACTCTATTTTTTATACCTACTCAATAAGGATCACTGATTTATTGAGTCCGCTAATGATGAGCTCGGTTTTATGCCAATAATGAAATTGTTCACATGATAACAAAAACACAATGCACCATACATAGATAATCACAATTTGTATCTAATTAGGTCATTTATGTTTAAAAAAAATCTGTCTTTATCTTGATAATGGGATTCATTTGGTCATAAGGTAAATGATAATTACAAATAAATGAAATTCTTTTAATACAAACGAGAACTAATGTTAACTCGATAATATGCCAACTAATGCACTTAACAATTTGACAGCAATCATCAAATGATGAAACTTAAAGATAAGAAAAGAGCTCAGAAAAAGTTTGATATTCAGTAAAATCAATAAATTACAATTGAGATAAAACAACTCTGTACATATAGTAACTATAAGTGATCATTAATGTAGATAGGAGGATTTACGATTATCATAATATGAAAGAAATTCCCATTGGTTAGCAAAAACTAGCTCATCTGTTATCTCTATATTCGAAACTAAGTAACCATTGCATCGTTAGTTAACCATAATTTGTAAGTAGTAAACTATATATAAACAGTTATTGAATTCAATGAAAGCTTACAAGTAAAGCAGTAGAAATGTACTGTAAACCAACTATTTAATAAATGCTTTATATATATATAATCTAATGTAGAATAAATTCTCAAAGTTTCACATTGTTTTTTCACTTATATGTCTATATCTAACAATTACTATGAACATTTACCAGTGGAGCAAATCAATACTGTCCCATTCCATAGTGAATATGTGGAACTATGGAGTTTTCAACAAACTATAGATTATCTTGACATTACCTTTTCCTAACCACGAAGGGAGTTGATCACTAACTCGTTGGTTCAGTTGCCTGGTTGTGAACCCAATATAACTTTCTCCACAGTAGCAGCTGAATTCGTAGATACACATAGAAGTGGCATAACCAGGTAACTTATTCTTTAGTTCAGAAATCCCCATAGATTGGATAGAATACGATAAACAGAGGTTGGCTGCATTAAACGTTCTCTTCACTGCTCTAGTCCGTCTATCACATAATACATCACCATTGAATTACAACTTCAAGAAAAGAAGTTTCTTACTAACTGTTAATGTCGCTATTTTCTTATTTTTTACATGAAAATATTTCTTCAGGAATCCTTGTGGATTGAATCAACGAGTAAGTGAACACCTCTCTTCATGATTACGAAAAGGTAATGTCAAAACAATGCACAGCTCGATTCTATCACACTTGATCGATAGTGGTCATGTAGTGGACAGAAACAAGTCATTTAAAGTTATTTCTCGTAAACTATAGATTAATCAATGAAATATTTCAAAGTATCTATATTTTCAAAAGGGGTTTTCTGGAGATTTTAGTAATCTCAATAGTTGAAATCATGGCTCATTTGAAGCTAGACCACAAAAGAAAACCTAGAAGCATTGCATGGTTGTTTCGTCCTATTGTGAGACTCCTCAGCAGTGCGCATCCACGATCCCGACCCCCAAGAAATTCCGACCCAGAACCTATCAGTTTCGTGCGCGAGCACATAACCACTAGACCACTGATACGGCCGGCATCCAACGGTGTTAATGTCTAACTTCAACCAATCCATGAAGTTGCGCCACCGTACACCATTGTTTTCAGTGAGTTGATATCTCACAACAGACCTGGTTGAACTCCACTAGTAATAGCTTCTCACTAGAACTCCAAGAAAAAATCTCTTGAAGTCAGTTACTAGTGAGGAGATGATTATTATCAGAAGAGATTTTGTGGAGATTGACTCATTATTTCAACCAGTGAAATTTCTAATATCTCTACAAAACCCCTTCTGATATGTTAAATCATCAGTTAGATTTCATGTTATATAAGTAGTATCTGACTATATATGATATTATAAATTGGTCTAAAGTAATTTAAAGCTTTTAACGGTAAATTTCTTCTGTCAATTTTTTTCATAGAATAGAAACTAATTTTCTTCCGTCCTTAATATTTTCCATTAATGTGTGAATACTTCCATCAGATAACAAAATGAAATGAACTTGATATTATACATATTGGATTATCAGGTTTAAACTGTAACTAACAAGCAAATAACTTTCCAAGTTATGATGTAGATAGTTCATAAGACACTTTGTTTGATCTAGGTTTTTTGCTAGTTGGAGCTTATTAGTAGTAGGGTGTTACTTGTAATCTTGAGGAAATTGATGGGTGAACACATACCAAAAATAGCTGCAGAAACAAATGAATTCCAATGGTCAAATAAGATCCCGCAGGGGGGCGGGATCGTGGGTGCGTGCTGCTGAGAAGTCCCAGAATAGGACGAAACGACCGTCCAGTGCTTCCAAGTTTTCCATAGTGGCCTAGCTTCAAATGACTCATGATCTCAACTATCTAATTTTTAATAAAAGTACTTAAACTCTATCAACCAAAAAAGTTGTTGCTTATTAAGCATTCGGAAAATTTCTCTGAAAAAGAAATTTTATTTTCATTATATATATATATATATATAATATATATATATATATATATATATATATATATATATATATATATATATATATCAGTTCTTCATTGTTTACTCATGTGTTCAATTTATTACCATACCATTAAACTGAAGGTTGATATATACATATATATAGAGAGAGAAGTGGGAGAGATATAGACGTATGTACACATTAAAATAAACAATATAGATTATCATTTACTGTGAAAGTGAAATTCTCTATCTCCTCTTATCGATCTCTGTCTTGATACTTAAAGGTCATTCATTCCACTGAAATGTTTCCTATGGTAAATAAATGTATGAATGTTAGACATTGATTTTCATTTTATTATGTCATCTACATACACAAAATGAAATCATTAAGTGAAACAAACAAACAATTAGATGTTATAGAAATTGTTGTCTGAAGACTAGAATAATACATATGCCCTATATGGAAGATTGAAAATAATGAACAGGGAGGGGGTTGGTCAGGAGATTATGAAAACTGACAAGTACTAGATAGCTGTCTCGTTCAAGTATAGAAACCGTTTCAGGAAACGAATCCAGGATATTCAATTTTAATCTTAAACGATTGAAACTTTTAACCACTGATAGTAGTTTAGTCTTTTTAAAAGTTTTCCTATAGTTCGAAAAATTTCTTTACAGATGTAGAATATTCAAATATCAGTTTTCTAGTTGAACTTATATCGTTATGGGTACATAGGTTTGGTTTCAACTTTTTAATAGAGATGGCCTCAGTGTAACGTAGTAAATTCAAAGTGATTTCAATGTGGATTATTTTAAACACTTTTAAAATAATAACAATGTCACAATTGATTGATCACTGGGTGGTGACCAATGTCATGCTTGTCTAGTCCTTATTATTAGTGCAGATCGAATGCTATCGATCATGTTGCTATGTGGCCACCAGTCTAGGTGACTGGACACCGCGAGCACCGATCTGCACTAATAAGGATTAGACAAGCATGACATTGGTCACCGCCCAGTGATCAATCAATTGTGATTACATCTCAGTCCTACAGGAGGTCGGTCGTGGCCCAAATAGCTCAGTGGTAACATCTCTGACTGTGAAGCTGGGTGACACGGGATCGAATCCGCCAGGGATCACCAGTTCCCTCAAAGTTTACAGGTACACCTTGCTGACGAGTGCCAAGTAGCACGAAACCCGGGTCCAGGGTTTCCTGTTGACTACCTCCAATCACCATCTAATAACAACAATGTGTCCAGTATTAAACGGATAACGAGCAATTTCAGTGTTGAAAATAAATTATCGTTAAAATCACAATTTTTGTGGATTGAGCTCCAAGATGAGAACAAGAACTCATATTTCTGTTCTTCCGATGTAAATGGTTTGGCATGAAGTTCCATTTTTCATCATTCAGTTACATAACATCTTATTTCATATTCCTTTAACTTCATTCTCGGTCCTATTTTGAGTTTTACACACCCTACTCTATTAATCTATCCAATTTGTATCATTGTCACCACGTAGCTTTGACATCTGTATTCATCTTCTGGAAACGTATCTCTATATGTTTTAAAGCTTTTCTACGAAAATTTTCACATATAAATACTTATCCTCTTTATAACTATAGTCGTTTTTGTACTAATCTTCGTTAATATGATATAAAGTATGTACGTACATACTTGCTTACTTATTCCTGTTACCCCTCATGGAGGAGCATACACCGTCCACCAGCATTCCCTATCAAACTCTGTCCTGGGTAATCGTTTCCAGTTGCCATTTAAGAATTATATGAGTTGTAAAAAAATAAAATGACTTATTTTGAAACAGAAATATATTTCTTTAAAAATGATTAGTTTTCCTTTATATTTATTAACTATAATGTAATTTAACTATCCACATGTTGTCA